ATTAATTAAAAACATAAATAGTTTATCACAGAAACAATTAATACATAACATATTAAAACATACATTTAAAATGTATAATAATAAAAATAATGGGGGAAAAATGAATTAATATTGTCGCCATTTCCAACACTGACACCAAGCAAGTAAAAAATATATATATATATATAGGAATGTGAAAATTAACCATTAAAAACATAAATAGTTTATCACAGAAACAATTAATACATAACATATTAAAACATACATTTAAAATGTATAATAATAAAAATAATGGGGGAAAAATGAATTAATATTGTCGCCATTTCCAACACTGACAATTCCCAAGCAAGTTTGTCATTGACTCGCGTTCTAATATACACACACCTGATTCATGTACGCTGAGAGCAAGAGACAGTGTGCAGCGGCGGTTGTGTTCAAACCCATGGCAGGGAATAGGGACTGTGCTGTGTACGGCCAAAACGTGTTTTTTAGCGTCCTCGCGGATGTGCAGGACATCTGGAACAAACTGAGGAAAAAGTGTTGGACGGTTGGCCGAAGACAGTGTAAATCAAACACCATCATACAGCTCTGTTAGACATGGGTAATTATGCAACATAATATCTGCAATGCTGCAATGTGTTTAGCCGGTAATTATCACTTCAGGCATTGTGCATGACGCATGAACCATCATAATTATGAAGAATTAGATGTAACCGGATTTACCTTAATTCCCGCAAAAAACCCAGTGCTTTCTTTAGACGCCGACTGCGAGCTGGAGGAGTTTAACAGGAAGGTGGACACGCTGCAGGAAAACTGTCAATCAAACCACACTGACCCAAAATATAATAATAATAATAATAATAATAATAATAATACAAAATAAATAAATAATATATATTTTTAATAATAAAAAATAACACAATATATAGTGAACTTTTGTATACTTTTATTGCAAAGAACACTTTTTTATTTATTGCTTTAATAATAAATATTTAAAATAAAATGTTACATTAATTATTTTTTATAGATTTTATTTATATGGGAATGTAGCCTTGCTGGTATGTCAATATACTGTATATATTCCCAAATAAAATAAATAAATACATTTAAAAAAATATTTTTTTTTTTGTTAAATTATTTGTTTTATTTATTTATTTATTTATGAACATACTACAATATACAACCATTAATTACAAAATAAAGATGAGAATTAAAACCCAAAAATCAAAGATTTGTTTCATAACACATCAATGTATCTGACAGACTACATCATTGCAAGGCATTTAAAGCCATATATGGCACTGAAACGAACAGTTTGTTTGAATGTGCTTTTCTGTGTGTATGAAGGATTTTCAGGTCTGCTTATGGGAATTACAGAGAGCACAAGGTGTGTGTGTGTGTGTGTGTGTGTGTGTGTTTGACTAAGTCCAGCTGTGACACATGTTTAAGGGAACCTCACAACCCAAACCAGACTGATGGTGTTCCTCAAACGGGGGCCTCTGTGATCTAGAAACACATGCTTTTTTTATGACTGCAGGTAGCGAAGCACATCTTAAACTCTAGGATTCAAACCTCCTTCAAACTTCACATCAAAATGAACAAATTGGAATGAATTCAAGACAAACTTCTAGACAAAACTCCACAACGCTTCGCCTCTGTGTTATTTAGGGTTTGTATACACATGTGACCTCGATATGACCTTTCACCTTTCCTGACCCGGTCTCACTTCCGCTGGAACACTTTCTGAACTCACATGAGAGGTCAAAGGGCATTATGACTACAGACACCCCTCACCAAAGACCCTTTCCTTTCTTGGTCTGGTGAGAAGACAGTTTAACGGCTGTCTGGAGCGCATTACACCAGTGGAAAAAAAAAAATCAAAAGAAGACAATGGTAGTGTTTTAAGACTCACCAGGTGTGACCAAAATTCAGAACTTTACTTAATCATAATCATAATCAACAAATTTCTATCACTCCTGGAAAAATTTGTAGCTATAGTAAAAAAAAAAATAAAAAATTGATTTTAGTGGACTTTATATATAAAACCTTGTTCTAAGGTTTTGTGTCTAGCCAGGTTCCTTTTATGTATTTTTACAAATTATTCAAATGTATACGAAATTTCTGTGATTTTTTTTTTCTTTAAGACTTTAAGATTATTTGCACAAATTTTGGTATATCACTGTTAAAAGTTTCAATTTATTTTCCGTGAATAACATTTCCAGAATAAAAGACCACATATGCTCGCAAGAGGTGGAAACATTTTTCATTCCGTAAGAAGACGTACATAAACTATGATAGACATGCATGTAGTTTATGTGCATCAAGAAAGTAAATAAAAATCAGTTTTTTTTATATGAATTTTGGTATATCACAGTGAAAAATTCTGAAAGATGCAAATAACATTTCCAAAATGTGAATAAAAAACGTATACGCTCGCTTGAGGAGGAAATATTTTAGTATGGTAAGATATACATAAACTATGATAGAATTGCATGTACTATATGTGCATCAAAACATTTTATAAATTATTATTTTTTTTTTACGAATTTTGGTATACCACAGTGAAAAATTCTGAAAGATGCGAATAACTTTTAAAACGTGTGCATAAAAATATATACGCTCACTTGAGGTGGAAACATTTTAATTCGGTCAAAATGTTTTCTTGAATATTAAATAAAAAAGAAAGAATGGAAGAAATGTTGCGTGAAGCAGCAAACTCACAGCCAATCAGAACACGTTTGTATTGCAAATAACATTTCCAAAATGTGAATAAAAAACGTATACGCTCGCTTGAGGAGGAAATATTTTAGTATGGTAAGATATACATAAACTATGATAGAATTGCATGTACTATATGTGCATCAAAACATTTTATAAATTTTTTTTTTTTTTTACGAATTTTGGTATACCACAGTGAAAAATTCTGAAAGATGCGAATAACTTTTAAAACGTGTGCATAAAAATGTATACGCTCACTTGAGGTGGAAACATTTTAATTCGGTCAAAATGTTTTCTTGAATATTAAATAAAAAAGAAAGAATGGAAGCATAATTATTGTCTTGGCTTCAAACAGAAATGTTGCGTGAAGCAGCAAACTCACAGCCAATCAGAACACGTTTGTATGTAGATGTACATATGTAGATATGCACAGCAGGATTTTAGACCAATGAGATTTCACTAGAATGTATTTGCGTAACACTGGATCATTTTACAGCAATTTATTGTATACTGTAGCCCTTTTTTATCTTTCTCAACAAATCCTAAGCAAAATGTGATTTTCTAAATGGCATATTACATGAAAACCACATTCTACAATCGTCTCTTTACCGTTTCTCCCAGTCTGAAGTGAAGTCCGTCCATCTCCACCAGTGAGTACAGTCTCATCGTTGTGTCTCGTCTGATCTCCACCTTCATGGTGTTGGAGGAGTATCTGGCCCACACCACCTGATACCCCACCAGCCACATGGACGTCACCCCAGTGAAGGAGCAGCGGAGGTGGACGCTACTGCCGACAAGCTCTGCAGTCACCACGGGTTTTGAAGGTAGTGAAGGGACGATTGCTGCACAGAGGAGAAAAACAAGGTCATGAGATGAAATAGAAATACAGAGACGTAATACATAAAAAAATATATAAATTATAGAGCTAAAAACTTACCCTTACAAACGCCATTAACGTTGGTTTCACCAGGTGGACACGATTTAGGTGTGTATGGTGAAGCAACTAATAAAACAAAACAAGCAACAACAAAGTCTTTAAACTTCCTTTTTATACTTTCATAGTATAAATAAATCAATAAATATAACTGAATCTGTAAATATTATTTTTATTGAATAATTGATGAATAAATGGTTTTTATTTAAAAAGATAAAATATTTATTTAGACCATTTTTCTAGAAGGCCAGTTACCCAGTGATGCACAACACTTCCCGTTTATACTTTCGTAGTATAAATAAATACAATTTAATATATAAATGTGGTTTTATTAAACAAATGATTTATTTATTTATGCCTTTTTGAAAAAAAAATTAAGTCATATGATATGAAACTTTATATGTATACTTTTATGGTGTAAATAAACAAACAAATTAATGTTTAATCTATAAATGTTGTTTTTATTAAATAAAAATAATAATTTGCATTCATAAAATGACCTGTTTATACTTTTATAGAATGAATGAAGTAATGCAATTTAATATATCATTGTTTTATTGAATAAATAATTTATTAAGGCCTTTTTGCAGAAGATCAGCCCTGTGATGTATTAAAACTTTGTTTTAATCAATCAATCAATCAATCAATCAATCAATCAATTAGGCCTTAATTTTGTGTCAGAGTATTTAGTCTAACTTATATGTCACTTTAAATAACACATAGTGCTGTGGAACGAAGCCCTGACTTTCATGCCTTGCCAAAACTCTAAACCCAAACAGTTTCCTTCTTCCTGAAGCCGTCATGGAAGTGTCATAAATCCGTGAAATATTGCTACATGAAACCAGTAATCTGATTTGCTCCCCTGCAGAACTTCAGTTGCCAGAAATCGACCCTAAAATAAAAATGACCCAAATACTCTCACACACGGTTAATGATACAGTCATTTATATGGATCTAGGAGATGTCTGAGAAAGTGAGAGAGGAAACACAGCTAGAGAAAGAAAAATATTGATCACCCACTACAAATGAGATGGCAGTTTCTCACTGGGCTGTTGTGCAGAGAACATCTACAGATGTGCTATTAAATGGGCCAAAAGAAACTCTACATTGTTACTTCTAGTGGTGCAAGTCCCGCTGTTTTGGAGGCTATTACAGGTGAATTGTCACTAAGATCCAAATCAAATGCAATTTTCATGCTGCCTTTTCATTTCAAACCTCAAATTTGTGGTGTCACGACAAAATCTGAAGGAAAAAATATAAAATATAAATTATATTTTGCATTAAGACTTTTTAAATACATTTTTTAAATTATTTTGACTTTATTACAACAAATTCTCATTGAAAATAAAAAACTCATCATTGTAAAGAAAAAAATAATGGTATACTATACATCATGGATGGTACTATTTGTCGATATACCACAATACAACAGTACCTTTAATTTATGCTGATTTAAATAAATTAAATAATGAAATAAATCAAATAATAATAAAATAGATATTATTTAAAAATAAATAAAATAAACATTATTTTAATATAGTAAAATATGTAAAATAAAAAGTGAGAATTTTAATTTGATAGGAAAGGTTCTTGATACTAAAATACATTTTGTCATAGCATGAAAGAAACATCTGGATAGAAACTCTAGTCATGTGTCATCCTTAGTTGTCTGCGAAACAGATCATAATGCTAATGCCAGAAACATACTAGACGTGAATGCTCTAGGTCCCATTGTACATACCTAACATCCTTCCTTACTGTGGCTGTAATAAACCTCAGTGCTCATTAAGGCAGTAGAGTAACCTGTTTGTGCAACCAGATATGTTACAATGCAGGTATAGCTAGCAGCACCTTAATACCTGTAATGCATAGCTCTGTAAAAGCAACATGTGTTATGAATTGTGGTCTGTAGTGTTGGGAAAGATACTTTTAAAAGTAATGCATCACCATATTGTGTTACTCCATAAAAAAGTAAGTAATCACATTAGTTAATTTTATGGAAAGTAATGCATTATGTTACTTTTGTGTAACTTTTTATCAGCTGGGCTGGGCTTGCTTATTTATGTTGTAACAAAAAAATAAAAATAAAATAAAAAATAAATTATATATATATATATATTTTACATTATACATTATTTTACATTATATATATATGTATATATATATATATATATATATATTGTTTGTTTAAATAATTTCTGTGTGAAAAAAACATAAAAAACAAGTCACGTTATTGTACCTTCCGCACAGTATCCCATGCAACCCTGTGTTGGTTGCAGATAGTACAGAAGGAACACCCCACAATTCCGGACCGAGATTGGGATACGGAAAAGGCAGCAATCTTTGGTGCTTCCATGGTAGAACTGCCATGTGGCACAGGCTGAGAGCTGCTTGACCTCTCCGGGCCTCGGCAGAGAGCTGTCCTTAAGAGATAACCACACCGGAGCCTGCGTCCCACAGCGGTTCATCTACACAAAGAGACGGAGCTCAAGAAACTGCAGTTTGGAAAACAATCAGAACTAATTGACAATTGCTCACCTCAACACAGTGGGTCGGCATCTCCGCAGGTTTGTTGTTTATGGAAAACCGGTACCATCCGGGAGGCAGCAAATGGTCACAGATCAGATCCTGTATCGCTGTGTTCTGAAGTTCAGTAGAGTCGAAATCAACACTACGATATGCGTTCCTCAAGGTCCTGTATCCGCCCGGATAGCACTCTGGAGCTGGAAGAACCAAGGACACCGTCAAACAAAGGATGGAATTACAACCTTTAATATTCATAAAAGAGTTTAAAACAACCTTTCGGCAAAGACAAAGGTCAGCGCTCAGAATGCAGCGAGGGAGAAGGTCGAAAACTGTCATTACAATGGCTTGAAAACGTCACTCAGGTTCATTAAAACCCAAATGGGGGTTAACGTGACCTCCTCAGTGGCGGACGTTTTGTCTGGGGTAAAAATAACGCACCTTTATCTGACCCCCTTTTCCTTGCTCCTAACTTTACGCCGCAAAGGTCGGCAGAATCGGCCACGTGTGTCCAGGTCTCACGGCAAAACGGAGGGACAAAAATAGATGTGTGACTTTCAGGCTAAAACCTTTTTAATCCCTTGCCATTTCCTCAGACAGCACATCTGTAACACCTTACCCTTCTCCTTCCTGTATCTCAGAGCCAAAGTGGGTCAGATGCCACTATTGCGGCTAATTATGAGGGGAAGGAAGATCGACAAGACCTGTCTCACTTTTTGTATGAGGACGCCTAAGGCTAGCAGTACACTGCTAATCCTCTAATGCTCCCCTTGAACATGCTAATAGACAGCTTGGGCCAGATGTCATGCCATCTCTGCCATTAAACTTGGGAAGCTGAGAGAGGGCAGATAGCAGACGTTATAGACAAAATAGACTTGTGGGAAAACTGTAGACTTTAGACAGTACACAGGACTTTCACTTAGTGCTAATGTCAGGAAAGCACAACAAAAGAAAATAAAACAAAAAGATAAAAGCAAAGAAAACAGAATAAAAATTAAACAAACATGTTAGCAAAGCACAACAAAACAAAAATGAACAAAGCAAAAAATGTCAGCAAAAAAGGGAAAAAAAGAAAAAAAAAATGCAAAGCAAAGCAACAAAACAAAAAGGAAAAAAGCAAAGCAACTAAGCAAAGCACAACCAAACAAAAAATGTCAGCAATGCACAACAAAACAAAACGATAAAGAAAAGCAACAAAAAAAACTGTCATCAAAGCACAACAAAACAAAACAAAAAAAGCAAAGCAACAAAAAAACTGTCATCAAAGCACAACAAAACAAAACAAAAAAGCAAAGCAACAAATAAACTGTTAGCAAAGCACAACAAAAAGTATAAAGCAAAGCAAAACATAAAAATGAAAAATTAAAGCAAAAAATTAATTGTCAGCAAAGCACAAAAAAAGAAAACGCGAATCAATAAATAAACTGTCAGCAAAGCAAAACAAAACAAAACGAAAAAGTAAAGCAACAAATAAATTGTCGGCAAAGCACAACAAAAAACGCAAAAGCAAAGCAATAAAAATTGTCAGCAAAGCACTACAAAACAAAAAAGCAAAGCAACAAATAAACTGTCAGCAAAGCACAACTAAACAAAAAAATGGTCAGCAAAGCACTACAAAACAAAAAAGCAAAGCAATAATAATTGTCAGCAAAGCACAACTAAACAAAAAAGCAAAGCAATAATAATTGTCAGCAAAGCACAACTAAACAAAAAAATGGTCAGCAAAGCACTACAAAACAAAACAAAAAAGCAAAGCAACAAATAAATTGTCAGCAAAGCACAGCAAAAAAAAACAAAAAACGCTAAAGCAAAGCAATAATAATTGTCAGCAAAGCACAACTAAACAAAAAAGCAAAGCAATAATAATTGTCAGCAAAGCACAACTAAACAAAAAATGTCAGCAAAGCACAACAAAATGAAAAAGCAAATCAACAAATAAAACTAAAAGAAAAAAGCAAAACAACAAATAAATTGTCAGCAAGGCACAACACAAAAAAAGCAATGCAAACAACACAAATAAATAAATAAAAAACATCAGCAAAACACAACCAAACAGAAATATTAAAATATTGTAGCATTATTTGACGAGATTCCAGGGTCTACAATGGCAATTGGCCAGTGTGGTCTTAAAAAGATATACATTACAGAGACATTATAGAGTCCTGGACAAGTAATAAACCATCTAAAAGTCTAGAACACTTTAGCAACCACCTAGCAACACTAACATTTTGACAACAAGTTTTGCACAGGAAAGCACTCACATTTTCATCTAAAAATATTAAGAACTAGTTTAACCTACATCTCTCAGTGAAGTCTCAAATACAGACTTTGTTCAAAAGAACATGTTTCCACTAACCATCTGAAAGTCCTCATAAAGAATAAGGGCAGGTGACCTTTGACCGGTGTGGAAAAGAGCAGAAAATCGCTCCTCTAATTGTGTCTGCTTTCTAGAGGGAAGACGAGGCTGGGCTGAGAGGGCTTTCTACCCCACTGGAGCGCTGATGAGATCATGTCTCGGCTGGTTTAGAGTTCATAATGCCCTGCTCTTTCCAGCCTAATTCAAGGATCATTACTCTGCAATTACGTCCTAAGCTTTACTCTTAGAGGTGTAATGGGGCAAGATGAAGATAAAGACATTTAAGTGTTCATTTTATAAATTCTTAATAATGGTTTGGTGGGGAGATGGAGGGATGATTTGAGGGGACGTTTCTTTAGGGGAAGTAAAGGAGTTTCAAGGTGGCTGGCTTAAAGATACGATGAAAGTAAAAACAGCTACTGGGTGCTTGCTTTACTTTCCATGCAAACATAAGCCATTCATACATTCAGAAAGTCATATGTTTGAAATCTTCACTGAGTAGTTTGATTCGTCTTGCGGTAAAATAATCATCATCATCATCATCATTATCATCATAACTGAAATAAATAACCTAAGTGAAATCCGAAGCATAAAATTGAATTAAATTACATTCAAATTAAATTAAATGTGAAAACAATAAAAAGTGACAACAGCAAAGTGACATCACAACTGTAAAATGAAATAATAATAAAGTAAAAATTATATCAAGTGAGATCGCAACTGTAAAATAAAATAGAATAAAACAAAATTAAAATGACAACAGAAAAGTGTCATCACAATTGTAAATTAAAATACAATCAAATAAAACAAAAATGACAACAGAAAAGTGGCATTGCAAATGTAAATTAAAATAAGTGACAACAGAAATATGACATCACAACAGTAAAAAAAAAATTACAACAGCAAAGTGACATCACAACTGTAAAATAAAAATAAAAATAAAATTTTGATAAAATAAAGTAAAATAAGTAAAATAATAATAAAATAAAATTTTTATTTTATTTTATTTTTATTTTAAGACAGAATAACAACAGAAAAATAACAACAGAAAATTGACATCACAACTGTAAAATTAAATAAAACGTATAAAAGAGAAAAGGGCAAAGTGACATCACAGCTTAAAAATAAAATAATAAATATTAGAAATTATTATAAATAAAATAATAATAAAAATGAACATCACAGGTAGAAATAAAATGCAAGAAAAGTAAAGATTCATTCAACCTTAAAGAAAAATCACACCAAAAATCCATCTCATAGTAACAGAACAGACGTTTCGTCATCTGAAAAGATCTGAGCATATACGTTATGCCAGAAGGTCACATTTAAAAGAATAAGCCACATTTGGTCTTCGTCTGTACTTGCAGGGGTAACAACCACAGTCCAGTCTTGCTATGCAAGGTCAAAGGTTGCACAAACACTCGTGTTTTCAGCCCTCAAACCAAAGCTGGGGCAGCGCTGCTGGGTAAACACTTCAGATCGCCCGGTTAATTTGTTGACTTAGGGGCGGGGTGGATTTCAAACACTTCCACACCAGGGAATTCCACTGAAAACTTCAGATTAGACATGGACACCGTCCACTTTCTCAACGTGTCACTGCTTTTGAACAGTGCAAACACTTTTTGCAAAGCCAGTGACTGCAGAAACTAGAAGATGGAAACATGTCCATATGTGGTCAAAACCTTGTACCTATGCACTGGTGTTTTAAATTAACCACAAACCAATGCACTGATCGTATGAAGCTAATCCATCCTGAAGAGTACCAGACAACAGGACCACCTACTCAGCCATCAATAGAATGGGTTTAAACTTAATAAATAACTGAAAGAAATTGGAAAAGCACATAAATACATGCACAAGACGCAAATTTTTTCAGCCCAAACTAAAAATAAATGGAAAAAGTTATTGTAAGATAAAGTTTTAATAAGAAAACAAAAAAGTAACATTATAATTGGAGAAAGAAGAAGAAGAAAAAAAAACTTTGTTCACTCACAAAATCATTCCAATATAGTTTTCCCTCCTATTTCCATCACCAGTTATATGCTTGCTCGCGTAAGTTTGAAAAAAGTTGCGAGAACGCAAATGTTTTGAGAGCAAGTTTCTTGCAGGGAACGCAAAACTTTTGCAAGCAAATGGAAAAAAAAACTTTGTTCACTCACAAAATCATTCCAATATAGTTTTCCCTCCTATTTCCATCACCATTTATATGCTTGCTCGCATAAGTTTGAAAAAAGTTGCGAGAACGCAAATGTTTTGAGAGCAAATGCGAAGTTTCTTGCAGGGAACGCAAAACTTTTGCAAGCAAATGATAGTTTTTCCTCCCATCTCATTATTTCAATCGCCATTTTTGAGTTCGCTTTTTGAGTACACAAAAGTCTTGCAAGCAAACGCAAAGTTTCATGGGGGAACAACACTTTTGCAAGGGAAATATAGTTTCTTGGGGCAATGCAAACATTTCAAAAGTTTTTGCTTTCACTCTCAAAAGTTTTGAAAAATTGAGAGAATGCAAACGTATTTCTGGGGAATACAAAACTATCGTAAGCAAAATCATTTTTCCTCCCATCTCATTATTTCCATAACCAATTTTGTGTTTGTTCGCATACGTTTCGAAAAGCTTTGAAAGAACAGAAAAATTTTGCCAACAAAGTTTCTTGGGGGAACAAAAACTTCTGCAAGCACAATATAGTATTTTTTTTTATCTCATATATTTTTTCTGTCACCAGTTTTGTGTTAGTCCGTAAAAAATGGTCAAAATTTTGACAAGTTTTTTAACCAAACGCAAATGTCTTAGGAAATACAAAACTTATGCGAATTAAATTTTTCCTCCAATCTCCTATTATTTCCTTCAAGTTTATATTCACTCACATAAGTTTTTAAAAGTTTGCATTCACTTGCATTAGTTTCAAAAGGTTTCGAAAACACAAAAAAGCATTAGCAACTAAATGCAAAGTTTCTCAGGGGAACGCAAAACTTTTGCAAGCGAAATATGATTTGCTATATTTTTTCATCCCATCCATCATCAGTTTTTTGTTTGCTCACAAAATTTTTGAGTGCACACAAAAGTTTTGTCAGCAAACACAATGTTTTTTGGGAGAACGCAAAACTTTTAAGCGCAAATGCTAAAGCATTACAATATAATTTTTTGCTCCCATTACATATTTGTCCCATAACCATATCACCTTAGTGACTTCATACGAAGTCTCAATTGTGACATAAAAAATTATATAAAGACATAAAGTCATGGCAAACCAAAAACTAAATAGACAACTCAAAACTCAACTCCTACATAGCAAAAAACAAATCGATAAGAAAGATCCTGCTGAACCAAACAAGCTGCAAAGATTCTTATTTTAAGCATGTAGTGTTTAAGGATTCTTAAAGCTGGAGAACTTTCACACAAGTTCATCCAGTATGTGTGTATGGGAGGGTTGCAGGGCTGCTAAATGTGAGTTATCTGTTGTGACAGTCCGCATCTCGGCCGAATGAAGAGCTGATTACACTGCAGGAGAGGAACAGCTCCAGATATTCACACTCTCCAGCCCTAGAGAGAGAGATTTGTTCAAACAATTGGTTTGTTGGGTCTGGCTCTGTTGAGTTTATGAAATATCAGTGACCACAGGAAACTGTCCCTGATATTAAAGCGAAATATCTTCACAGTTGCAAACGCACTCATCTGTTTCCCCCTCTCGCTCAGCCAGGAATTCACCCAAACCCTGAGGACTCGGTAATGTTTCTTTTTCACTCGATTGTGTTGAGTGAGGCTTATGAGGGATGAGATCACATGATCCAAACACACAGCTGTCGGACATTTAATAAAGACTGAAAAGTCAATGCTGATGATTCACTGAAGAAATATCACGAAGGACTCGTTCACGGTCTGCCGAGTGAAAGGACACACCGCTGGGAGGACATTGTGCAAGAGACAATAATGCTTTGTTTATCCCTAAAACTCCAAGCAACAGAAACATTATCTGCCAAAATTAGTAGCACAAAATAATTAATATACAATCATGTCAAAACTTTATAACGTCATTCATTACAATAATGTTCATTCTTGTGACACTAACAAATAAAATGCAACCACAAATCCCCCTATGCCTGATATAGATAAAGTGCTCAAATATTTTGCAATCGACTGTGAATGCATTTTCACAATTTTATTTTTTATTTTTTATCTTTAGACTTGTGATTTTTATCTGTATCTTGTGATCATTAAAGGTACTGCAGGATATGAACATATTTGAATGAACAAGCTGTCATAAGGTTAGTCACATTAAAAATAAAATAAAATAAAAATAATAACCCAGTTTATAACAAAAATAAGCACAAAAACCATGTTTAAGCAAAGCAAAAAGCAAAACAATATAGTGTAATGCACAATATATGCTGGCCAACTGTGCTAACTGCGTAAATGAGTGCATTACACACGTCTATAACCTGTAATGGCACTGAGGCATGAGCTGGAGGAAAGGACAGAAAAGATATCACAGCCTCACTAATCAGTCTGACCCTACAATCATGAGGCTCACATTCCCACAATTACTGCACCCCTGAGGCTTAATACTCACCTACTGACTGCTCTAATGACTGCTGAAGACATCTGCACAGAGAGAGAGAGAGAGAGAGACAGAGACAGACAGACTGTGCGTGCGTGCACGCGCGAGAGAGAAAGAACGCGTCCTTTTCTCCACAGAGCAGTGCGCATAAATAGTACGCCACATAAAAACGAAAACTCGTGGTATTGATACGCAAAAATGGACTTTGGCGTGTATATGCTACGCGATGGGTAGGTTTAGGGTTGTGGGGTAGATGCGTATCATATGTACGCGAAAACTGCGTATCATATGCACGCCAACAAATTTCGTATCACATGCACGCGAAACTACGTATTATATGCACGCCAAAGTCAATTTTTGCGTATCAATACCACGAGTTTTCGTTTTTATTTGGCGTACTAGTTATACGCATTTTCATGAGACCGGGCTCTTAATTCAGTCTGAACTGCGCAGACAGACTCTCCATTTGGTGCGCAAATGGATGTCAGTGCGCAGAGTTACAACGAAGTTTCGCACAGATTTCTAACAGCTGTTCAATCCCTCTGGAGAACCTGGATATTGAGCACTAATGAAAACAATGGCTTGCGGATTGAAAGCACATTTATCTCAACACCATGTTCCTGACGCAGCCAGACAAAAATCTTATGCACAACTTTTAAACTATGTTATGAGCTAAAATAAAAGTAAAATAAAATAAAATCGCCTACATATTAACAAAAATAATACAATGCAGTAAAATAAATAGATAACTAAATAATAAAGAACAATACAATCAAACCCATAAACCCCCTTCAAACTGATGTTATGAGGTTAGTTTAAAACAAAATACAATGAAAACAATAATACATGCAATATAAAATATAGTAGCATCATAAATAATGGGGGGGAAAAACTACTTGCAACATTTTTGTGCACAAGGTTTGTGAATCTTTAAATTTTGTTCTGGGAATATGGCAAATTCTTGAGTAAACGAGCAAGCATTGCATTTCAACATTTCAAAGCTTAAAAGGTGCATGAGTAACTTCTAAACATAGGCTCCTTATTTCCATCAATAGCGCAATCTGCAGCGCGATACAGAAACCATCGCCTTTTAAACGTGCGCAAAAGGTGTAGTTGTGCCAAATGCGTCCTAAACATCATTAGTATGTACTATAAGCGTGTTTTTGACTTACCCAGTTGCCCAAGCAACTTCAGCGGTAGTAGACATAAGCACCAGATGTAGATAGATGACTTTAAAAAGACGTTAAAAAGTTCCATGGTTGAGTCTCACAGTTGCGCGTTTTTCCACGGGGATCCCATCGGAGAATTTGGGGCACTTTACATAGGAAAAAAAGTTTGCGGGGTGATTGAACACTCTGCTCCTGATGTTGCATGTATTCCTCCCAAGACTAAGGAAGTTTCCTTGCGCACAATATATTGTCCTTAATTTATGGGCAGTAAGAGGAGTCCTGGACCATTTTCCCCTCGTGTGTGTGTAAACAGTCAGCTGTCTGGAGTAGTGAAGGGGCACTCGAGTCAGAAGCCCTCAATTAACTGGAGAGTAGGAGGACACTAACGGGGTCTCTCTAATGAAACAAACTCGCGAAAAGCAATGAAAAGCTGAGAGAAAGGCAATTTACTGAAGCTAAAATGGAGAAAAGATGATTATTTCCGCATTAAATTAGGTGAAATCGCTTTTCCATGGGGGCATGTTTCTGCACAGGCTTCACATCCTAATATACACTTCCAATTATAGAAGCGAAAAGGTGTTTTACAGTAGAAGTAACTTTTAATGGTCCACAAAGTTTATATCTTTATATGTTAATATCTGGTTTATGCTTCTGACCTGATGGGCCATAGGTGTTTTCTATGGTTACCGAGAGAAAAAACTATGCTAAATGCACCACACACCACCTAATGCATACGAGAGCAAAAAAATACAAAGACAAAATAAACAAAGACAAAGACAAATACAAATTATATAATTTTATTATTTATTAAGGTGTTTTACAGTAGAAGTAACTTTTAATGGTCCACAAAGTTTATATCTTTATATGTTAATATCTGGTTTATGCTTCTGACCTGATGGGCCATAGGTGTTTTCTATGGTTACCGAGAGAAAAAACTATGCTAAATGCACCACACACCACCTAATGCATACGAGAGCAAAAAAATACAAATAAAAAATAAACAAAGACAAATACAAATTATATAATTTTATTATTTATTATTACAGTATAAAATGGCAAAAAAAGATTATAGAAGTTAATATTTAGGCCTACTGTATCGTATGTATAACAATTCTGTGAGAACAGACAAGTCCACATCACAGCTGTCATGCTAGGAACAATACAGCTGGAATCACTTTCAGAACGACATTTTTTTCCAGCTTATGAGCAATAAAAACATTGACAGCCAATCAAAATCCACCAGACTTTAAAGCGCTTGAGCATTTAAAGCAACAGATGTCAAAATGGCAGCCTGCACTAATAATAAACACAACTATACTGTGCCTTGGTGTGGTCCCTAACATAATTATCATTATATTTATCATGGCTATCACAATGCGAAAAGTGACCAAATCCATCCATCATTATGGTCAGGTCCCATTTTCCTCTCTTTCCCCAAAGTACAGTGGGCCAGTCTCAAACAAACAAACCTGAGTGTACTTTTTAAACTGAACAAAACAGTTCTCTGACAATATAGTCCACAATACAAAATCAAGTGTAACCGTAAAAGACAGCAAGAAAACACATAAATCCAGAAGAAAATAATGAGATTAGACAACAGCTGACAAACACGCACAGGCCCATTTGTACTATAGCTCAAAAGCCACATGATAACCAATTAGGACAGGAAACAATAATAGCAAGACATATGACGGCCTTCATAATAAGAGTCAGAACATAAACCATTAATTTGTAGCTAAATGGACCAGTTTCTCTCTCTCTCTCTCTCTCTCTCTATCTCTCTCTGTCCAATCTACCAATATATATGTGTATATATTATCTGATATATCTGTATCTTATTAGCCCAGCTGAAAATGGTTGTGCTACTTAAAGAAGTGTGGAAAAAAGTGTGGAAAAATAAGAAGAAAGGGGATAGCATGGACTAATAACAATAAATGGGTGGTAAATTCATTTTTAAATCATCATGGATGGATGAATCTATGTTTGAGCTTTTTTTGTGGTACGTTTTGAATGCTAACACATGTACAAGTTCTTCAAAGCCCCCAGATGGACTCCATTTTACCTCTGTTAACAGTTGATACCTAAAACCAATGCATTGAACCATAGAAGAACTAAAGAAAGATGATCTGAAGATCCAAATATAACATCTACACAGCAGTTCTTGAACATTATTCTGCAAGGAATTAGCGAGGACCCTTTATTTAAATGCTGTTGAGATGTTAGCCCATGACATTTTTACCACACTTCTGTGTGAATTCCCCTATCCGAGAATATCTGGCACTTTTCAATGTCAGCTGATCTTCTTGAAAGCATCCAGCTTTTGGTCTCAAACCTTCAGTGCCCCAGAGCACATGATAAGGCCAACACCTTGCCTCTCTGGGCTTGTTATTCTCCAAACCAAATTCCTGACTGGCCAAATGTGTACATCCCTCTCAATCTCTTGGCAGCAAGTGACTCGGATGCCACCTGGAAGAGGGCGAGATGGTTGCGCTGTCTGAGGCTGAAGTGTTAGCCATTATATCCTCATTATAGATTATATCTTCTAATGCCTGCAGTCTGGCTGAAAGCAGAAGTTGAAGTCCCTGTCATGAACTGGCTTTATTGAAGGTCTTTGGGTCTCATTCCCCCTCAAGCTGTTGAATTAAAGTTCAAACCTCATGCCAAGGGAGAGCCTTTGGACTTGAGCTGAAAAAAAAAGTCTCGTTCCCTCCTCACAATTGATGTGCATCTCTGAGAAGGGATTTTCCTTTAAGCTGCAGCTTTGAATAGAAGATCCCCAGAAGTTGTGATCAAGGACCAGTGCATTGTTCTAAAATCTTTTACCATCATAAGAGAAATATAAAACTTTTTTCAGATCATCTGCCTGGGACATAAAAGAAGAGAGAAGCCTCCAGAGATCCTTTTTTTTTCTTTCTCAGGAGTCATACCAGACAAAACTGTGGGCAACGTCCTTATTCTCAAAGTGTGGAGGTGGTTTTCATTCCAGTGTGACCAAATACATACCTGTACCTGTGGTGAATATAAAATAGTTAAAGTTACCTCCTAAAAATGTAATAAAAGGTGGGCAAAACGAGGACCTGGAATATTTTGAGTGATGGTTACACCATGGTTGAAACCTTCTAGCAATGCAATTAATAAATAGGTTACATTTTCAGGAATTACAATATTTTAATCAGGACCAATAAAGACTTCTAGTGTTTAGACTTTAAGAATTGAATGCGAGCTCAGACAATCAAACATAAATGCATCTGAAAATGTATATGCGTTGTAGATGTGCAATGCTATTCATCGATTTTAAAAAAAATTCAGATTTATTTATTTTTAATAAGAAACAAGTGAAGACCCCATTCACCATGTAAAATTAATCATCTAAAGGCATTCAATCAAAAGATGAGCTACAAACTTCTTCACCAGCATACATGTGAAAAACAACATTTCATAAATTAAAATACCTTGTCGATGAAGGACTTTTCAACTACAATGTATTTTATTATTTTAAAAAAGCCTTCTGAAATCATAACTCATGTATTGGGATGCTAAATCAAGATCTTTCATGTATTTAAAGGTCATGCTGTCGCATAAAGGTGGCAGTTTAGGAAATCTGTCACTCTGAAAGCCCTCTAGGACCTTGAAATACAATTTCAAAGGTCTCTTATTTAAAACGTTCCTGCATCGTTTTTCCTCTGACTTTCTGTGTTAGCTGCACAGATTCAAGGTTTCTTTATTCTCAAAGCTTAAAGACGCATTGATATTTGACTAAAAAAGAGGAAATCGACATTCAGTGACATTGCCATACAATTAATTTTTCCCTCAGTGCAGCTGGAGCTTTAAGAGACACTTTTCTGTCAGTTTAAGTTCAGATCTACGGAGGTCTATTTAACGTTAACTTCTCTAAAGCTATTTTAGGCTAAATCTATTCTTATCAATGTCTTTCATGCTGAGCTTTTGACTGAGATTGTCTCGCTATCTCAAAGACAAACACATACATGTGATTTCCCCCCATCTGAAACAGGCTTTTGTGGCTGTTGTGTTGACAAGCACCAGTCTTGCTTTCTTTGCTCTAACGCTCATAAACAAACTTCACAGGGGGTTGAGTGTCAAATCAGCAGGTAACAAGCCAAGCCGTCTCAAATCTCCATGACACACTGAGCGTTATGTCGTTTAAGGGAGTATTTGGTAATTCATAAATTGTTAATCTGCATGTTCAGGCCCAAATCTGTCAAAGCATAGTCCTGTTACAATCGACAAGCTGTGAACTTCCAAAAAATGGAGAGGAAAATTATTCACTGCAGCTCTTGCTGTGCTAATATATTCACTGTTACATCAGAACATTTCTCAGAAGATGATTACTAATGTAATTCATAGTCAAATCTTATTTAGACTCTCACAGATAAAACTATAAAACTGTGCATTCTTGTGGTACCATTTATATTTGAAAATTTCTGGGGAAAAAAAAAAAAAAATGATATTTGCTATCATTTTTAACAAAGTTAACAAAGTCATATTTTAGGAAATTAACCACCAATGAATTTTAGTTACCAAAAGTAATTGTAACACCGTTATAACTCGTTTGAAATTCATAATTTATTGTATGAATAAATAATTAAATAAATAAACATTACTATTGAACTTATTTTACCTGCAAATGTGATTAAGACTTTGCAAAGTACCAATAGTTATTTCAACACCACTACAGTATGAAATTGATCATTTGAAGGATGGATGGATGGATGGATGGATGAATGGATGGATGGATGGATAGATAGATAGATAGATAGATAGATAGATAGTTAATTCAACCCCATCACAATATGTTTGGAATCAATTATTTGAATGAATTAATAAATAATATTACTAAAAATAATAAATCTCATTTTATCATTGAACAGTATTAATAACCCATCACATTTCTTGTAACATTCAAACTGTTCTGATTACAGAATTTAAATTTGGTGCAAAATACTGGACTAGCAAATGTCATTGCACCACTGCCCTATATGTGCCAAAAAAAAAGAAAAGGATTCTGTATGATGTACAAAACAATATGTACACATAACGTCCACCCACAATCTAGCCAACCCCCAAAAAAATTCCCTTCTGAGGCTGGATTTTACCACCATCTCTCCAAACAGTGTGGTAAACAACAAAATATCTTTACGACCAGCTGTTAAAATGCTCTGTAAAGCTGTGACTGTAAATGTTTTCAGGCCGAACCCGCAAAGTCATCAGTGTCTGAGCATTATCAAGCTCAGGAAGGTCTCTGATAGCTCGTCCTCTCCTAGAGCTTTCCCCTGACCGCTTCAAG